AATTGAAAATGAAATACCTGAAAGTCGAAACTTTTAATTGAATCGTAATCTTGCAGGTTGGTAGCTACCCATTCGAGGTACTCGTCAAGTGCTAGCAGTTGGCAACCCTCCCATTACGTAACAACTATAAATTGTGCACAACCGAAAAAGCTTAGTCAATGGTTGCGTTATATAGTGTCATGCGCATTTATCGATGTTTTCTTTTGAGATATGCGCTCATAAAGTTTTGACATTATCAATAGATATATTTCTTCCAGACGTCCCAATCGCCCTTTGTGAGTACCATCCTCCGACAATCTGTTTTTGAAATATAAGGAATTATTTATATCCGATGACGACAAAGAGTCGAGGAGGAGGCTAAGGTTGGTTGACATTAATTCCTTTCGTTGAGACCTTTCATTAGAGAAAACATGGAGGAAATTAAAAACATGATGATAACCCATAACAAGACTATGATGGAAATGAGAAATTACGTCAGAAAAGAAATAACGGAAATGAGAGAAGAGTTTAATGCAGGAACTGAAGAAACAAAATAAAGAGAAGGAAGAAAGAAAAATGGAACAAAGAAAAACGAGAACTAGAGGAGAGAGTAGACAAACTAGAATGGAGACTGGAAAAAGGGGAAAGGATGAAGAAAAAAAATAACGTAAAAATTAAAGGAGGGGGAGCAAATAACATTAAGGAAACCGACGCAATAAATTTCCTAAAAAATGAATTAAAAATAAATATTTCTACTACAGAAGCCCGTACAATACAAAATAGAGAACGATAAATAGGGATTGTAATGAAGTGTACAAATTGGAAGGAAAAAAATGGAATCATGAGCAACAGACAAGCCCTAAGAGATAAAAAGGTATATATCGAGAATGAACTGACGTTTACAGAAAGCGATTGCAAAAGAAGATCAGAGAAAGGATGGGAAGAAAAAGAAAAAAAGGCAATACACAAAAATGGAATATATGAAGCTCATGATAAATGATACATGGTGCAAATGGGACAAAAGAGATGGTAATTTAACTACAAAAAACTAAACAAGCATACCCAATCGTAAGGGGGGGGGGGGGGGGGGAATCACACCAAATAATTAACAAAGGAACAACAGGTGACAACAAAACAAACAAAAAAAAAGGACGAAAAATTAAAGAAAACATGATGAAAAAGGAAACATCAAAATTGGATTCAGGAACGTGGCGGGAATCAGCAACAAGGATTTAGAATTGTGGGATTACGTGAAAACCTATGATGTAATCGGCATGACAGAAGTATAAGTAGAAGAAAAATATTGGGAGAATTGGGAGAAAAAACTACCGAAAGGTTTTGAATGGGAATATCAATACGCCAGAAAGCGAAAGCAAGAAAGGAAGAGCCAAAGGAGGAGTATTAACGGGTGTATCAAATACGATAAAAACTGAAAAAACGATGCGGAAATAGGAAAATGGAATACAAGAAAGAAAATCAAAAGATAACGTGACAAATACAGAAGGGATAGAATTGATTAAGGGCTTAAATCAAATTACAGTTGATTTTTGGTAAAAAAGGAAGGTTACACACTGCCTTTTTTTTGCCCCGCAAGAAAAATTGTCTCAGATCGACCGGGAAAAAAACATTTTCTTACAGAATGTGGCCTGTAGAATCCAGAATTTCAAACAGTTCCAAGATTGGGCTCCTAGTTCAAAAGTTACAGCCTTTTGAATTTTTTTTCGAAATTGGTTTCTAGTCTATAACCTTTGATTGAGAAGTATAATCGAAAAAGTACGAATTGTTTTGGATTCTACGCACCAAAATTAATACGAAAAAGTGTTTTCCCGAGAAATTTTGGTGTAGTCGATTTTTAATAAAATAGGAAGGTTATACACTGCCCTTTTTTTGCCCCGAAAAAAAAATTGTCTCAGATCGACCGGGAAAAAACATTTTCTTATAGAATGGGGCCTGTAGAATCCATAATTCCAAACAGTTCCAAGATTGGGCTACTAGTTCAAAAGTTACAGCCTTTTGAATTTTCTTTCGAAATTGGTTTCTGGTCTGTAACTTTTGATTGACAAGTCTAATCGAAAAAGTACGAATTGTTTTGGATTCTACTCGTACGCACCAAAATTAATACGAAAAAGTATTTTCCCGAGAAATTTTGGTGTAGTCGATTTTTGATAAAAAAGGAAGGTTCACTGCCCTTTTTTTTGCCCCGAAAAAAAAAATTGTCTCAGATCGACCGGGAAAAAACATTTTCTTATAGAATGTGGCCTGTGGAATCCATAATTTCAAACAATTCCAAGATTGGGCCTTTAAGAATCCTTAAGATCTAACTAAAACTTCATGAAAGAACTTTTAATAGTCTCAAGAAACTTTAAAGGTTTTTAAAAGCGTTTGAGCTTCTTTAGTTGGTTACTTAAGGCTTATTAATTGTCGCAAATAGTTTTCAAGGACATTCAAGGGCCACAAAGAATTACAATAACTTGAAGTTCTTTCGCTCTATCAAAAGTCGGGTTTTTAGGGTTTCTGGTAAGACTAGGGAGAGCTAAGAGAGAGCTAAGGATACTTATGAACCTTAGGGGCCTTCAAAAACGTTAAAAAACAGAGGTTTTACGCTCCTTAAGTTTTCAAGGGCTTTTAAGGTAGTCTGCTAACATTCGTCAAAGACACCCCGAAAATGTTGAATGGCTTAGAGCTTTTACAATGTTGTTAGTGCTTGAGAGCTTTGTAAAGATCCTTAAGACCTTTAAAATTTCATGAAAATATCTTTAATACCCATAGGAAGCACCAAGGTTTTGAGCCTTTTGAGTTAAGTTTTAGGGAGTTTAAAAATTCTTTAAAAGTATATACGGCTTTCTAATAGTCGCAATCAATTTCCAAGCGCATCCAAGAATTGTATAAAAAAGAAGTCTCTAAAATCTTATGCTCTCTGTAAAAGTCGAGTCTTTAAATTCTTTTGGGAGCCTTAAGAGTTTTAAGCAGCGCTAAGGATACTGATGAGCCTTAAAAGCCTTCAAAAAGGTTTAAGAATACAAGAGTCGGGCCTAGTTTATTAACCTTTGAGTGCCTTCAGGACCCCCGAAAGGTCTACAATATGCTTTTAGAGCCTTTACTTCGTAGTCTTTAACAGCTTTAATATGCTTGGTTTTAAAAAGGTTTCTAATCCAAAATTAAAAGTGCTCTTACGACACGTTAATGGGTTTTTATTGTTCTTTTTAGGAGTTTGTAAGGATACGGATGGGTCGCCTATACATTCTTTAAGTCTTCAAATAATACCTAGCTTAAAAAAATTCCAGAAATATTCCATAGGCCTCTGCCTTTTTTCTTAAATTGTCCCTTAGTGGTCGTTCAAAATCTTTAAGTGCCTTTAAGGGTTTTTAACAGAAGCAAAAGTCTTTAAAAAGCGTAAAAAATTGCAGTAGCTTTTAAAGTCCTTGTGAGTTTAATGGGCCACTGTAAGGATAGTATACGCGTCTCAAAAGCTCCCAAGAACACGAACACGAACTTTTTAATCATTGAGTGTGTTCAGGACCCCACAAATGCTTTTGAAGATCTTTACGATACTTTTGGAACCTTGAATATAAGTTTAATTTATAACAATTTTGGGGTTTTGGATTCGAAACTTAAAGGGTTCTTACGCCACTTTAATGGGCATTTATGGGTCCTATTAAGAGTTTGCAAGAGCCATGAGGTTTTGCCTACTACCTTTTGCTTCTGCATTGCTGTCTCTAAGCTTTCGAAAGCCTTTACAGAGTGTGCCATGATGTTCCACAGGTCTTTCTAAGCCTTAATTAGATGCTTAGAATATTTGGGAGATCTTGGGGATCTTTGACACGCTTTAAGTGTGCTTTAAAGACTTGCTGTGTAGAGTTATTTGAATTTTATGTGAGCCCTCAACCATTTCCAAAGACTTGAATAGGTCTTTAAACTTTTTTAAGAGACACAAACAGTTTTCAAGAGCTAAGATCTCTTAAGGCTACATAAGCTTAATGAGTAACCGAAGTTTCTGCCCTTTCTTTAAGCGCCTCAAAGGGTCTTTACAAACTTTTAAGAGTTTTAAGAACCCTCTAAAACAGGATTGTAGTCTTTAGAATTTTAGTACCAAAAAATTTTCTTCGCCCTGTACGTCATTCAGTATTTACTCTATGGTATGTCAAATCAAGAAATTGAGGTTATGCATTATTCCGTTAAATAGGCAAAAATAATGGCCGGTAATTTCTGGCAAAGTTCCCATCAGTAAGTTTAAAACTACATCGAACTAACAAACTGAACCTTAATTTTCAGTCAGCAATGGCTTTTAGATAAACAGGATTTAATCCGCGAAAGACAGCACGATTTATCCATACTCACCGAAGACGAATATCAAAAGATATTTATTTTCTTCGCTAGCGGTAAGTGGCCTTTATTCGGCATTCGCCGCGTTAAGCCAAACTGATTTCAGTGATTCAAACTTTGGGCGAACAACTAAAACTACGTCAGCAGGTTATAGCGACTGCGACCGTTTATTTTAAACGATTTTATGCGAGGAACTCTTTGAAGTGTATTGATCCTCTTTTACTGGCGCCGACGTGTATCTTTTTAGCGTCTAAGGTGGAGGAGTTCGGTGTGATTTCTAATTCAAGACTGCTAACAACTTGCCAGCAAGTTAGTAAGTTATCTTGCACGGTTTTAGAACATTGTGTTTGTACTATCCTTTGCAGTTAAGAATAAGTTCAGTTACGCTTACACCCAGGAATTTCCCTATCGTACCAACCACATTTTAGAGTGCGAATTTTACTTATTAGAGAATTTGGACTGTTGTCTAATAGTATATCAGCCTTATCGGCCACTGCTTCAGCTAGTACAAGATTTGGGAAACGAGGACCAACTATTTACTTTAGCATGGCGTATAGTGAACGATTCACTTCGAACCGACGTTTGCCTGCTGTATCCCCCTTATCAAATTGCAATCGGCTGCATCCAATTTGCTTGCGTCATCCTCCAGAAAGACCACAAAGTGTGGTTTGCAGAGTTGAATGTCGATATAGAAAAAATTCAAGAAATATGTAGGTATATAATTAATCTATACGAATTGTGGAAGCAATACGACGAGAAGAAGGAGATTCAAGGTTTACTCGCCAAAATGCCGAAGCCGAAACCGGCACCACAAAGATAGATACAAGTATTATAAATGCATTCATTTAAATAAACGCTAGCTTCCTTTTGGTTGTGTCGGTAGTAGATTGTGCCTCCTCATGTTGCTAATGACGCCATCTAAAGAGGTGACCTTCCTCTTGGCGCTGCCTTTGAGTGCGTCCTCGCCATCTTTCCTCATTTTTAATGTAGGCGAAGATGCCTCGTCCATGAAGTCGAAATCCGATTTATCCTCGAGTCTGGAACGAACACCTTTTATAAACGGTTGCAAACCACCAAAACTTACGGGGCGGAGTTCTCATTTTCTTCCAGCTTGTCTGTTACTTCCGGCGAAGGCGACCGATAGCCGGGACACTTCCATGAGATTTCGGGGACCTCACCTTTATCCATCATGGTGTAAAGGCGATCTATCTCCTCCGGTGATGGTTCCCAATTTGGTTTATCGCGAATTTCGTCGTCCGAACATTCAACGCTCCAGTCTTCTTGCATTTTTGTGGAAAATTTGAATTTTATTAAAATAGGTTATGTAAACAAAGTGCATCATTTATACGGGACATTGTTCATACAAATTTAGGTATGAAGAAAGCGGTGTTGCCACGTTGTCAAAATTGCATCGAAATTTAAAGCCTAATTGCCACTATAATTACCGAAGCTTAAAATGTGGGTTTTGAAGCCAGAAGTTTGCATAGATATTGAAACCCCAGAAGTCCCTTGTTATCATTTTGCACATATGCTTTAAAGGTTTCATTACCTACCAAGATCTTCCTTGCAATTAATCCAGAGGCCACATTCTCAAAAACCTCCAAACCACTCTGTTAGGGGGTCTCAAGTCCGGCACTGCAAATTTGATTTACCCTATACTATACAGTAATAGAGGTAAACACAGTGTATGAAAACATCAAATAGATGCGGATGTTAGACAGTGCGTGTATCATTGTTGAACGCGGTCTCCAAAGCTTCTAAAATCTCAAAGGCCACAGCTCATAGCCATCACCTTGATTACCCTAGGTACCTCTCGCCTTTCAAATATGCGCCAGCCCAGGGCTCCTTCCCAACCAGTCCAAGACCCACTGATCCTCGCATTCGGCCACAACGACACCCTGCGTATTCCAACGGAACCCCAGCAGCCGTCGACAACTGCATTCAATGCATCCATAATACACCTCAAACTGAGGCTCAGCGATGTCCATCTCCAAGTGTGATACCGGAACTATGGTCACCATGAGCCTCGCTGCAGCGATCTTGACATCTTTTGAGGGCGATGAGCCCGGAATATGTTTGTTTAAATAATCATCCATACAATTCCCACGAGTAGTGCGGAAATGCGGTCCCAATCGGGCAGGGCCGCTTGCCCAGGGCTTGGTTGCCAGCCCCTTCCCGAAGGAATGAGGTCGCCCGGTATCCAAAGGGCACCGTTATCGACACTGCACCCCAGCGCCACTCAGTTCGGCACGGTCGCTAATACCTTGACTTGGGAGGTTGGTCTGCGGCGACGATCTTCGTCGCTACCAGCCCCGACAAATCACTTAGAGTCGTCACTTCCCACACCGAAGGGCAAGTTACATTACGATTATTCAGGTGTCTGCATGGGCGTTCCCTTTATCCACCACCCGTAGATGCACGTATAATAATTCATCCCGACACTAATGAGATTGGTAAAAGGGAATAGAACGGAGATAGAATAGAAAAGATCAACAAATTAATGGGACAAATGCGCAAATCAGAGAAGGTAGAAAAAGAAAAAAGTGCCGTTAAGCATGGGCTGGAACCCATATGAAATATAAGTTCCGGTTCGGCACTATTTAGATACGCAATTATTTTGTAAGGGTTTCAGTAACGGTTCCGGTTCTGTGGCTTTAGGGATTTTCGGTTCCGGTTCCGGGTCCAGTTTTTTTTCGGTTTTTAAGTGAAAATAAAGAAGGCACACAATTAAAGTACATTATTCTTTGCATAAACCTATTGTTTTAGATTTAATTTAAACTTATTTTCAGCTTACGCCCTCGTTTCATCTCTGTCAACTGCCTGTCCTTTTCTACTTTCGTTTTCTTCAGCAGTAGTTTCAACTCTGAGGAGATTTAATTCTTGATGGCCATCAAATCCATAGAGAATCAATCACCGGAGATAAGGAATGAAGGTTGATATATTACTTGTACTTCCAGAAAGTATGATATCCTATGTTCTTTAGCACTAATAATAGCGGTAGCGGTATTGGTTGCGGCTTCTTAAATAACGCTTCCGGCTCCAAGTGAGGGTCTTATAAATGAAATCGGTTCCGGTTCCGGTACCAGTTCATTTCGGTTCCGGTTCCAACTTCTGGCGTTAGGAGGGGTGTGGAGAATAGGAGAGAGGAGCCCCAGAAAGGTCTTTAGAACATGAAAACAAATGCTTCATGCAATGGTGAGAGGGGTGCGAAGTACGGAGATCTGGGGGTGGAAACAATGGGATGAATTTGAAGAAATCAAAGACGGTATTATAGATGGGTATTGGGAAGGACACGAAATTATTTATTAAAGGAAGAATCTAAAATAGTGAAGACGGAATGACGGGGGGCGGTAAGATTCGAAGAAAGGAGCGAATGAGGAATTAAATTAGTAAAACAATGCTTAGCACAAAGGATGAACAAAGAAAAAAGTACCATGAAAGAAATGGATAGGGACGGGCTGAGGTCTGAGGTTAAAAGGAGTGGAAAAATATAAGGGAACATATGGAGCGGACAAAAAGATACATTGATGCTGAAGTTCACGAGGAAAAAGTAGGTACAAGGGACTACCAAGGGCGTGTTCGTCTAAATACTTATGGGAGGAAAGAAAAAAAAGTTAAGATAATGGCAACGTTTAGGTGGGGAAATGAGGGGACAGATAGAGAGAAGTAGATGCAAGAAAATGTAGAATCCGCGGAGAGGACATGCGTTATGGGAACGCAAAGAAGTGGAAAGAGCAAGGAGGAGCAGAAATGAAGTGCTGGAAAAGGGAAAAGAGGACAAAAAATAAAACACACATACGTTTTGACATTTTTAATATCGAGTATGATATGTTGCCTATCTTCCAGGCTTCATATTCGTAACGTCGTGTTCAATAAATCGTCAAGATAGTGGCGACATCTGTGTGAAATAGATTTAGTAACTGCATTTATTGGTAAGATGTGGGTATGATTTGTTCACGAAAGATGTCAGAAGCTTTGAAAATATCATATGAAAGACGTATAGTGATAATATACATGCATCCCTTGAAATAGATATAGCGTGTTGTTTACATATGCATTGTTGCAATAATACTTGAATTATTTATAAATGCTTTACTTTTGCCATGGAATAACGAAGTCTCACTCAACGCTTTTACTATATCAGGACCGTACCCAAATTATCTTTCGCGGTTGTTGTTTATCCATTGAACTTCCGCATGATCAGCAATGACACATTTTAGTATGGACTAATTGATATGGTCCATTGATCCATATTGTATGTACATGTACAGGGACACATCAGCAGGCTTGAGTTTTTAAATTTGTATTGAGGTAAAATTTTATTTGTAAATATATTTGTAAATATATAGTGGGTTGTGTTGGTAGAGCAGTCTTGGCTAAAACCCCGCCTACTTAAAAATAAAGGCAAAAATAAAGACAAATAGAGGGAATGAGATTAGCCCGAAATCCAGAGAGTCTTGTTTTAGCATCCGGAGAGTCAATACGAGAGCTTTACGTTGATCAGTACGGAGTTTTTGTCATATCGCGGATTTAAAGCCTAAGTATTAAATTAGGCGTTCAAACTAACCGAGCTTAGAAGAGAAAATGAATAGTTGAAACCACGGTGTAGTGTCAATAATATCCAGTGGTTCTGGAAACGTATCATTTTGTCCCAGTGGAAAAGTTGCGTGAAGAAGTGAAGTACCCATTTTGAAGTACAATTGAAAAAGCGCATGTTAGTTTCTTTTACCCTTAACTGTAGTAGCGACGCACATTAGTTTACCACAAAAGTGCCATATCAGCAAGAATTATTATTACAAAATTACGCCAAGGAATATTTTCATCTTAACGTGTCGAAGGTTAAAAGCTCATGAGCGTAATTCAGTTAGGTAAAGACACGTTAAGTGAAATTGCGACAAAGAAAACTGTTAGAAAAAAAGATAAAATTTATATTTATTTATGCGCCGTTGAAGTTAAAATTAATCAAGGAATTTCCAACAAATTAAACCTAAAATTCAAGAACAAACCCTTATAAACGAGGTTACGCTAGTGCTCCTTTTTTTTGCTAACCCAAAATTTGTACAAAGGTAATTTTTCAGTAAATTGCAGCGTCTCCAAATTAGAATTATTATCCTTTATTTTTTCTTCAAAGAAAATATCTTATTAATTGCTTCATTTCACGAACTTAAGGATAAGGGCGTCAAGGGTAGGTAAAACACACAAGTTTTGGTGGGACTCACTAGATATGAAGCACACATGACGATTTGGTAAAACTGGTTATTTTAGTAAAAAACTATTCAAAACTACAGCGCATTTCTCAAAATATTGGGCAAATCAGAACCTATTTTACAAATTTCTCCCCTCGACCCCTTAGACCATTCCAGTAAGTTATGATAAATCGACGTCCTCTGAGGAAGGTTTAGTTTCCTACAGATTTCGCAGGCCTTTTGCACCTTCGCAATTTTATACCTCTTCTTCCAATGGAAATACTCGAGATACGCCGTTGCGTTTTCGTGCAAGTACCACAAGTGATCGGCGAGCTGTTCCACAGTTTCAAAATCGGCCACGTTGATCACCGAGCCAGGGGGAGCGCTCATGTTGTAGTCTCCGGCGCCGTAAACTATTGGCACCACGTTCTTCCGGAGGGCGTTGTACAGTTTTTCGGTCGAGTAGTCTTTGCACAGTGAGTTTTCGAAGGATAGGTAGAACTTGTAGTCTTCTTCGAGCATGTCGTAGCACTTCGGCGAGGAGAGCTCGTTGCGTTGGGTCTTTTCGCACGCCAGCGGGCCACAAAGTCCGTAAACGTCGACGGGTAGGAACCGTTGGAGTTCTGCCACTAAAACTTCCCGCTGACTTGACGTTTTGCAATGGCTGACGAACCAGGCGATTAGTTTAGTTTTCTTCTGGATCGCTGAGACCGAGGACAAGGTGTAGTTGGATTCCTCTTCCATAAATTGACCATGGCGTGACACAATGTCGGAGTCAAACCGGTAAGTCATCGTCCAATTGTAGAACGAGTCGTATTGGGAGAAATTGGGCGCGATGTAAACCGGTGCTTCCATGTTGCAGAAGATGTAAACCTGTTTCGCCGTTCTTCTTCGTGGTTTTCCGTGAATTTTTGGATCGTAAATCGAAGCGTGGAATATCACAGCGTCGAATTCGCTAATTTCCATAAAATGCCTATCGTTCGTTGCAAAACAATTTGTATACTCGCAATTTTCGAAGGGCTCATCTCCAAATCCAACTTCAAAGTCTTCGTGCCACCAAAATGGGGTCCAGTAGAGGATGGACTTGCGATCATTCTTTCGTAGCGTGTGGAAATCTTGAACGGCGAAAATTATGATTAGGA